AAAGGAGAACTGCATCTAAGCACCATAAACCGAAGACACTATTTGATTCATTATTATTATTCAAAGCAAACTCGCTAATCCATCTATGTCTCCATCAAAAGGTTAAAGGATAAATTCACCTTTAGGAACATTACATGTTCCACCCATTTTTTGGGTGTAAGATGTTCCCGATCCTGCAGCTGCCGCCCCTCTCTGCCTGTGACAGAAATCTGGGAAGAAGTTCCCCCATACTAGCTGTCATTTTTAAAAAACAGCTCAGCCATACAGGGCTCCGCCCACATGGCCGTGTCATTCATTCACAGTCCTCTGTGAATGAAAGGACTACAGGTCCCAACACCCTTAGCGGCTGTCAGCTTGTAGTCCTCATTGAACAGTTAAGTTCATTGATTCTTCCTATCAGAAGTACTGGCTTGCTCGCACAGGATGTATGACATGGGTTCAGCGATCTACTGATCGCTGGGGCAATGCTTCAGAGGTTTCTAACAAAAAATAATAAATGGACATTTTTTTTCCCTGCAAAAAAATGTCCATTTATTATTTTTTGTGAAAAAGGTGAACTTATCCTTTAAAGTGTTACTAAACCCACAACAGTAAAAGTCTGTGTATGCAGTAAAGTATGCTTGTTATACTCACTGTGGAACCTAAGGGGTTAATCCTCTGCATTGTGTAAAAAGTATTTTTGCTCCCAACTTCTCTGATCATCCCCTTCTTCCAGTGCCCCCCTCTTATCTCCTGATGAGACATCATGTGGAGTCACTCTGCACATACTCAGTTTGGTGTGTATTGCTAGAGGTTTTTTGTTTTTCTCCTTGGGAGAGTGCATGAGATCAGCACAGGGTCAATCAACACTGTACAGACAGAGGTCAGGGATCCTGCATCCTCCTAGAGCAGACTGTAAACTCCTCCTACAAGCTTTAACATGTGCTCAGCTGGACACGGATAGAAGTCACAAGACTGCTCTAACTGCTGATGAGAAAAGGGTATTTAGCAGTTTATATTTACTAAAATAATAGCATTTCCATGTTCTGTGTACAGGGAGAGCAGATATAGTGAATGCAGGGTCCTGGGTTTATTAACACTTTAAAAGTACTAAATATAATATTAAGCATAACTGCAGTGCCAATGAGTAGACCTTAAGCAAACAATTAAATACACCATGTGTGTTTAGTGTCAATTGAAATAAAATAATCAGTTCAATTAAAAATAGTCCAATGTTTGATATTTGATTCATCTTGAAAACCTAAAGAAACTTTCCATCAATCAAAAAACAATCCATCTAGGAGAGAAAATTGTATGTGGATCCCAACCGCAAAATAAGTGAAGCGCACACACTCACCAAAAGAAGGACCACAAAATAGGGGTACATAGGTTTTGTAAACCCAGTGGTTTTAAATCTCCACTGCAAGCAACTTCAGCCACAATCTCTTCTGCCTGCAAACACACTCCTCATCAAAAGGGCCAAACACTCTAGTGCCAAAATGAAGTCATCCATTTTCACTCCATATGGGGAACTTAATTCAACATGTGGTCGGGGAATGTGCATTCCATCAGATAAGTAAAACAACATAAAGGTTCTTGATGCGTTTCGTCCAAGAGGGGCATCCCTTTGGATGAAATGTACAGGATGGAGCTTGTTGCACTGACATCACATGTTGATGTCTCTTGCATAGAGCAGCGGTGCTCATGTAAGTTCTTTATGCTGGCTTTTATTTCTTTTTATGAGGGATGATCTATTGTATGGACTTTAATAAGAACACAAATACTTTTTTTTTTTCTTTGTTTTCTCACTGAGTATATTTATGTTTACTTTTCATAGATGAAATTGGTAATTTATGATTTTCTTTAATTCACATGGATTTACATATTCTTTGTTATAATTGTTTTTGTTATGTATAATTATATATATATATATATATATATATATATATATATATATATATATATATATATATATATATATATATATATATATTGAGGGTGTAGCACTGCACTTGTTTTGGACATTTATTTAGGTTTTTTGGTGGAAACCACTTGTAAGGGATTGAATAGAACCCAGATGGCTGCAGCAAACAAGTCAAATTAATCCATAACAGTTAATTGGTTTGTTTGCTGCAGCTGGATGCCGGGACTTTGGTTATTTGTATTCCTATATATTGAGAGCAGGTGTAACAAGCCAATAGGTTACAAATAGGCGCCAGGTGGGCATAAAATGCGTTATCCCCTCTTGTTCTACACTGTGTGTGTGGTAATTTTATTTATTAAATAAAGCCATCAAGATGTGCAGCCATCCAGATTCTATTGGTGTTCTTAATACGTCTGGTGGACCGGGCTGGTGCACTCCCCTACCATCTGAAAACTGATTGAATCAATCAATTAAATATTTTTCTCCCAAATATACGTATAAATTAATCATTTAATTCGTAAAACATTACCATTTAGATTCCAATACTGCGAGAATCTTCACAAAATCAGGAAACATTCAAGTAAATGAAAAGCTATCAATCTGTGACTCTCCTGATTCTTTGCCTTTATCACAGCAGAACATTGGGCATTGTCAGGAAAGACTTAAGTGCCTTCAGAGGTCACTGCATGACCAGACATACAATCTAACAGAGGGTAAGGCATTCACTACCAACCCCAATGCAAAAAACAGGGCATTACCCAGAAATCCTCTCTTAGATAAGGGTCTAAGGGCTCGTTCTCACTTGACTGTTTTTCCAACTCTTGCCAAGCGCCCCTATAGCGTTTGACAAGCACGGGTCTGGTGTTTGCAGAGCTGTTTTAACGCTCCGTAAATGCCGCATGCGTGGTTTAGCGCCGGTTGCTGGGAGTTTGCCAAGAGTTAAAAACGCCTATAATGAAGTTTGAATGGTGTTACCTCTCCGCAAACGCGTCGCAACCGCATCGTAAACGCCGGTTGGGCGTTTGCGGAGCAGCACCACAGACTTGAATAGGAGGCTTCAACTCCTCCTGACTCGAACAGAGGCGTCCGTTTTGCCGCGACGCAACACAACGCTAACGCTCCCGTTTGAACAGCACTATGTGCTGCAATGTGCAGAAATTTTCCCGGGCGTTTGGGAAACGGTAGAAACGCTTCCCAAACGCCTGTCTGTGGCTTGCTAACAAGGCTAGTGTGAACGTAGCCTTAAAAACACTAAAAAGAGAAATAACAAAAATCACACTGCAGAGCAAACAGTAGAAAACAGAAGGTATATGGTGCAAAGATGGACCTGCAGAGCACATTACTTAAAAGGTTTGGATATGCAGTTTTAGATTGTTGTTCTATATATCAGAACAAGATACAGACAATGGTTATTCTTTATTATTAGTCTGATTTTGGATATATGGCAGTTGTGCTTAATATAGGTAAAGACCACCAAGACTACAAAGTCTAAGTAATAGTTCAAAGAATTCTGCAATACCCCTCTTCTCCCATCACAGACACAAACTGTATGTAAAGCTTGTCATATGCTAATAGAACATTGTTTGAATTTTTTTCTTTTTCTGAACCACTGTTCGATTTTCTAATCATTAGTCCAGGTCAAATAAATGATCGTTTATGACCATAGTGACAAGAAAATTCGAAGGAGCAGGATGAAAAATTAAAGAATGTCTAACAGTGTATGGGGTTTTGTTCATGAAATCCCATTCATACTAAAATAAAATGTTAAAAGCAAGTTACATTTTGAAATACTTTCGCACAACATTCGTCAAATTTCTGCTGGTATTATTAACAATATTAAGATTTTTTTCTAGGAACGATCAGTCAAAACTATCTACCAGTGTATGGCCAGTTTAATGTGCTTGTAAATGCTTCAAGTTCTTTACATTGATGCATTATCTGCATTAAGGTAAAAATCCTTTTATGTGTAGCTCTCCCCAGTCCTCCTCACCCCAAATACTTTCCTGAATCTGATCTCGCTCCAGCTGTGCCCAAGTGTAGGAATCCTGCTCTCACTCTCTCCTCACTGCTGCAGTTAATCAAATCCAGTGAGGGGTGAGGCAAGGTGGTCCATGGTGGGCGGGACCAAGCTGCACTGTGTGGAAGTGGTTTCCTATGGTGGCACACAGTGAAGAGGAGGAGCCCACAGTGGCGGTGGGGCATCCCAGAAGAGCAGGTTTCAAGCCACTCTGTGCCAAATTATTGCACAGAGTAGCCAAGTATAACATGTTTGTTATTTTAAAAAGAAGAGAAGGAAAAAAAAACCTTTACAAATCACTGTAATGTGGAACTGCACTGCATCTGAGCACCACAAACACAACATTTATTTCATTTTTATTATTCAAACCAAACTCACCCATACATTCATGTCTCCATGCTTTATTTTTCAGAGAAATATTTTGAAAAACATGCCCTGGCATTTCAGACAGTGGTCATCTTGAGTAAAGGCAGAAGATTCATGTAGCACTTACTTCCTGGAATCCATATGCCCCTAGCTCAGGCATTGGCTGAGCTGAGAACCCTCCCTCCACTCCTGAAAACTGCTGGGATGTATGGCATTATTTGCCTAGGCATAGAAACCAGGAAGTAACTGAAGAAATTAAAAAAAAAAAAACAAGATAGTATATCTTAGTATATTAAAATCGTATATACTTTTCTACCCATTTACTAATTCTAGCAGCATAAGGATCACAAATAGTCTATGTTGATTGAGAGGGTGAAGTTCCGTTTTAAGTAGGAAAAACCATTTTACCATTTAATAGACATTTAATATAATGTGTGATCATTTCTATTTGATTGCCAAGTTGAGCGCAACTGCTCCTTTCTTATAAAATCAGTTTTTTTTTTTTTTACAAAATTGTTTATATATTGAAGACTATAAATATAAACTGGAACACAAAATGAAAATGAAACTTAGGATAGCAATATAAGGTTTTGGCAGACAATAGGGTAAATTCACCAAGTTGCATGAAGTTTTTTTATCTGCATTCATTATTTTACCTTACAATAATAGAACAACAGAGAAAAACAAATATAATTTTTGCCATATAATACCCACCCATCATATTTATCCAGATTGACTTCATAAAGATTATCTCTAGCATGGTTTGCATATTCTGTCACTGTGAAGAAAATAAAAGGTTACAGCACAGAAGAAACAATTTAGTTGTAAATGATATTTATCAGTTGACACCAAAGGATGCTGAAATTAATTTTGCAGTTTTCATAAGTGACTAAACTGGAACTATTCAAGTATGAACCTCACGTGTACAACAGCCTATGAAGCAAAGATTATAGCTTATAAATACCCCATTACACAGTTGAACAAAAACCTTTTTTTCAGATCTAAATCTTTAATAGATAGATATTTATGGTACGAACACAATATAATTTAAAAACACAATACAAAAATAGTATAATTGCAATATAAATTGACAAATGACCATATAATGAAAAGCATTATGACAAGTTAAAACTATAAAACATTTAATACATTTATTTTGAAGTGTTTGGGCTCGTTCACACTAGGCTGTTTTGCCAACGCTTGCCAAACGCCCCTATAGCTTTTGGCAAGCGTTGGTCCGGCGTTTGCGGAGCGTTATTAACGCTCGGCAAACGCTCCGCAAACGCTCCGCAAACGCCGCATGCGCGGTTTAGCAGCGGTTGCTAGGCATTTGCCGAGCGTTAATAACGCCCCACAAACGCCTATAATGCAGTTTGAGTGGTGTTACCGCTCCGCAAACGCCCCGCAACCGCACCGCAAACGCCGGCACGGGCGTTTGCGGAGCGGCACCATAGACGAGAATAGGAGGCTTCAAAGCCTCCTGACTCGTCCAGAGGCGTCCGTTTTGCCGCGACGCGACGCAAACGCTCCCGTTAGAACAGCACCATGTGCTGTAATGTGCAGAATTGGCAGAGGCGTTTGGGAAGCGGTAAAAACGCTTCCCAAACGCCTCTCTGTCGCCTGCACACAAGGCTAGTGTGAACGAGACCTTTATGTTAAACCTGACATACCTGTTCTTAAACTGAACACAAGAAGCCAAACCAATGAACTGGAAGCATGCTAAACACAATGATCAAACCACAATAAACTCATAACACAGCCTGTGGATTTCCCTAAAGATGTTTCTAAGGGTATCTGATTTCATATTTTAGCTAGAATCCTTCGGAAAACCTATTTATAGCAACATAGTATATATATATATATATAAAATTTATAAAGGACCTTAACATTGGTCTCTTCTGAGAGGTTTACAATCTAACAAAATGTATTAAAATTATACAAGTACAAACACTGGGCAAAAAGTTAAAGCAGTATCAATTAAAACACTACAAAATTATATTGTAGCTTACCAAACCATTTATGTGGTGAACGCATTTAAGTCTTGCAGTGCGCATAAGGCCTTGAAGGAAATTGAAAAACAAACAAACAGACTTCCTGGCCATATCACTAGGTGAAAATAAAGGGAAAAAGATTTAAATGCATTCACCCACACAAGTGCCCCCATAGCAAGTGGTTTGCTATGGGGGCACTCTGAGAAAAGGAGGTGGCAAAATCACCGGCAGGGGACCCCAGAAAAGAAGAAAAAAAAACGCTTTACACTAAATATAAGAAAACAGTTTGGCATGTGCTTTAGCTGAATTCTTTCTGGAAATGCCATGTGCTTGGCTGGTTTACTGATGCAATGGCTTCAATACATTCAGTCACTGATGCTATTGGGATGCTGTATAAAATCTACATAAAAACAGAATGCAATGATTTGCAAATCTCAAACCTATATTTTATTCACAATAGAAAATATAATAACTGTTTAAACAAAGAAAACATCCAGTTTTAAAGAAAAAGAAATAAGGTAATTTTGAAGTTGATGGTAGCAACAGGTCTCACATGAGTTGGGAAAGAGCCATGTTTACTAAACAAAAGTCTTCTTTGTCATATTATTAATTTCAAGATGTGCCAAATATTTTCAGTTGGTGAAAGGTCTGGACTGCAAGCAGGTCAGTTAAGCACCCAGACTCTTCTACCATGAAGCCATGTGGTTTTCATAGATGCAGTATGTGGTTTAGCTTTGTCCAGCAGAAATTTGCAAGGCCTTCCCTTAAAAAGGCATTGTCTGGATGGGAGCATATGCTGCTCTAAAACCTGGATATATCTTTCAGTATTGATGGTGCCTTTCCAGATGTGCAAGCTGCTCATTCCATATGCACAAATGTACCCCAATGTACCCCATAACATCAAAGATGCAGGCTTTTGAACTGAGCACTGATAATAAGCCAGAAGGTCCCTTTCCTGTTTAGTCCAGAGGACGTGGCACCCATGGGTGCCAAAAAGAACGTCAACAGACCATTATAAAGGAGCTTTGACAAACAGAAGACATCAGTGTTTCTGGATTATGTTCAGACATGGTTTCTCCTTTGCATGATAGAGCTTTACCTTGCATTTTTGGATGGCACGGTTAACTGTGTTTACAGACAATGATTTTTGGACTATTCTTGTGCCCATACAGTGATGTCTATCACAGAATCATGCCAATTTTTAACGCAGTGCCATCTGAGGGCCAGAAGATCAAGGACATCCAATATTGCGTTTTGGCCTTGTCCCTTGCACACAGAGATTTCTCCAGATTCAGAAACTTTTGATACCATGTACTGTAGAGGAGGATATATATTTTAAGGGCATTGCAATTTTACGTTGAGGAACATTCTTCTGAAATTGTGCAACAATTTTTAAATGCAGCTTTTCACAGATTGGTGAACATCAGTCCATCTTTACTTCTAAGACACTGACTCTCCAAGAAGCTTTGTTACCCAATCATGTTACTGACCTGTTGCCTGTAGCAATCATGCACACAGAGATGGACGCGGTCATCCATTTTGCTCCAAACCCCTCCATCTTGTATCTCTCTCTCCCAAATCAGATTCCTCCAATATCCCACCTCCCTCTCTGTTGAGTGACGTGGTCTGGGTGATGACAGAGATCACAGGCAGAAAACCCATTGGGAGGGCGTCATGGCTATAAAGCCCACTAGCTGGTGCCCATTTCTGCGAGACTCTTGCTGGAGAAGGGATCGTAAAACCATAAACCAGCCCTTACGGAGCTTCAAAGACATTCCGGGTAGTCGTAAAAACAGACTTACATTGAAAAACTCACTTTTCCATATAATTTTATATCTTCAAATAGGACATAAATACATAAACATGGAGCACATATTCGGACGGCTCACTTTAATACAGTCACCTGATATATTACATCCCCTAGCTGGCATATACAGGAGAGCAGAAAATTATATCTCCTTAACCATCCAAGCAGGTATGTCATATTTCATATCTAACCATTCAGCAGATGCATCTGCATATTATTCTACTAGTGGCCAGGCTGCTAAATGCACCAAGTTATGACCATGACATCAATTATGAGAGTTTTTGGTTCTAGCTTGGGTCTCTGCCCCAACACCCTCCCCAAATGAGGCGATTGTTCTCTGCTTTAAAGGAGACACCCTGCTGAGTTCCTAGAAAAGCTGAGCTAAGCTGAGCTGAAGTTGAAGATTCTCCCTTTTAACATCGGAACTAACTTTGGGAGATAAAGTATCCTTTTGGCTCTGAAACCTGATCTGCTTAAAACCAAGGCTGACAGCAAGTACTTTATAGCTCTAAACTTCTGTTATCTCTTTGCTGTGCTATTGTTTTCTGTATATTTATATATACATACATTGGCTACATCTTTTTCTGTAAATATTTTTATTGCACCCTTTTGACCTTTTAGTAATAAATCTTACTTTCTGAAAGTGTTGAACTGTTTCTAAAGCTCTTTAATGCAAACTAAGAACCCCTGCCTCTGAAGAGCGCTACTGTGTGTGTGTTTTAAACTTCAGTATATCTCTGCCTGCGGTGACAGTGGTATACCAACGCTTATGCAAACACATAGTGTTATTGCTGATATTGCCAAGTTTCCTCTTTCTCTATACAAAAAGAAGGTGGTGGCAGTGTGAAGGGTTAATTGCGTAATTAACTTGACCCAGTAACAATCACTCCCAGGCTGCAGATACACAGATTGTGGTCCATTACCTGGAAAATACTTGTGCAGAGTGCAGCTGGGCGTGGCATTATTATGCTCGTGACAGCACGGTTTTAGATTGGCTAGTCTTTCGGTCACGAGTTTGGTGAGAAGGGCTGGGGTCTGACGCCGCGACTGTCACATTGCCAATTAACCTAATTAGTTCATTCAGCCCTTCCTTGTTAGTACCACTTACTTTGGCAGCTTTTTGTTGCCTCGTCCCAACTTTTTGAGACATGTTGCTGCCATCAATTTCAAAATCATCTTTTTTCTTAAAACTGCACATTTTCTCAGTTTAAACATTTTCATATTTTCTATTGCGAATAAAACATGCATTTGAGAGTTGCAAATCATTGCATTCTATTTTAATGTAGATTTTAAACAGCATCCCAACTTTTTTGAATTGTTGTATGAATTCTTGATCTGGGTCATGGATTCAGAGTACTGAAGCAAGAGAGTCAACTATGGCAACCAGGCAGCTAGCATTTTTAGAAGACAGCACTGGAAGTCTGTGTGTTTCTCCTCAGTTTAGAAACACATTTTATTATTGACATACATTAACTCATGTACAATACATCGTCCAGTGTCCATAGCTGCAGTTTTAGAAGTGAAGAAAACCATGTTTCTTCTTACCAATGACATCTGTAGTGATAGAGGCAAGACTGAACAATGGAGCCACTTTCTTCTCATAGATCTGCTTCCTTTCTTCTTTCCACCATATGGATTTATATAAACTAGTAAGCGCTTTGGCCTACAAGCTGTAAAAAAACATATTCCCTTAATATATATAGCCATAAGTAACATCTTTTTCAGTATATCCCATTATGAGTCCAGCTAGTCATATTAGCTAACTTTACAAAAGAAAAAAAATCAAAGCTATATCAGTAGAGTTTTGTGCTTTATCTACAGCTTTAAGTAGTCCATCCAATAATTTATTGCCACTTAAAAGTTATAAGTGACAACTGCTGTAAAATTCAGGCTTTCAAGCCATTTTGCACCTTAATTCCATTCATATACTGTATATTGTGCTTAGCAGACTTAAAGCAGAGTTCCAGCCATTTTTTTGTGTTTATTAAAAGTCAGCAGCTACAGACTTTTAATAAAACACACACTCACCTGACTCAGGATCCCAGTGAAGTGATCACCCACACCATTCCCTTCTGTTCTTCTCTACCTGGTGCCGGCATCTCAAAATGTGGGAACCAGGCTCTGACAGATTGCAACTTCCCAGCCAGGTGCCCACTGCACATGCGGAAGTTGCTCTACGCATCCTGATTGGTCTGGCAGTCTTCTGGGACCTGTGAAGGTTCCTAGGACACTGCGAAAGGAAGGAGGGGGGGCTGCACTTCCGGCTCACTTTGACACAGCAAACTGAGCTGGAAATGGGAGGGGGTACCTGTCAAAAACAGGTACTCGCTCCCCCCAAAAGGTGCCAAATATGGCAGTGGGGGGGGAGCAAACAAGCGGAGCTACCACTTTTGGGTGGAACTCCGCTTTAAGCGGAGGATGAGAAATGATGGCAAAAAGCATCCTTCTCCAACTATCAATGAGTTTAGAAAGATGCTATACACTAAGAATTAGCAAAAACATAAAACTGCCACTTCCTGGTTTGTTAATTATCAATTATCTTATCAATGGTAATGATTATGAAGTGATCCTAGATTCCTATTGCCATGTTAAGAACGTTCAAGTATTTGATATATTTTTTTAAAAAAGCAGTAAAAACAAACATAAAAAGCCTTTGCTAATAAATGTAGTTACAGCCAACTGCGGGCCAGTTGACCCTCAATCTTCACAGGAGTACTGAAAGTCATTCAGGTACTGCTCTCAGGCAATTCAGATCCCCCTACTCTTAGCAGTCACTCTGTATCCTTTTCATATCTAATGCAAAACACAGATCGGGTGCTATGGAAGGGAAAAGGTTCAGCTGAGATCTCTTGATGGGACAAAGAAAGCAATAAAAATCCCATTTTATATATTATCGTATATATATATTCATATATTAAAAAAAAAATTAAGTTTTGGCTATAGTAACATTTAAAAAATGGACAAATAGAGGCCAACAAACTTTTTTTGCCCTTACTATATTCACTTTTAACCCATCAGGTTCAAGCCCCATTCACACTGCATGTTCTGGGAACACGCATCAAACTTGGGGTGCCATTAGTTCATGACACCCCAAACACAGCTAGGAAACACACATTTTGTCACGCGACAAATGAACAGTGAAAAAAAACACATGACGCTCACTGCTTGAAAAGACGCTCACAGCTTTTTTGCTAAAAAAGAACTTACTCTGTTGCTCAAGTAGATCATTAAGTGCTTGCAACCACTGGCAACACAGAAAGTCGTCACTGCTCCAGAAGGTCACTGACCGCCAGCGATGCTTCTTCTGCTCTTCTGTTCATAGTGCACTAAAACACTGAAAATGCTATATAAAATATTACCATCGCTGTAAAAAGGAGGAAAAGATAATCTATATCTATATATCTATATATTTATATATATCTATTATATATATATATATCATTTATATTAGATTATAAAATATATATATAAAAATATATTATATATATCATTAAAGTGTTATACAAAAAGTTTGCTCAGCGCTGTACAATCCTGCAGTATATGGAGACAATAAACATAACATAGTCATTAAAACTTTATATCAAATAATACAATATAACGGTGACTCATTGTTAACATCATTAAAATCTTTCATTCAAAGAACAAACACAGAATTTAAACCCACCACTACAAAATTTACCACCAATCATTTAATTTAACTCCAAAAAACAAACACAAACTCAAAGTGATAAAAAATAAACAATATTAACTTAAAAAATACAAACCACAGCTTTTGCGATCAAATGTTAAAAACTGTGAATTCTCCCCAAATGCCATGTAAACTGCTTGTCCAATGTCCAACATTGATTTGAAAAGAAACCCCAATTACAATAATTTACATTTCCCAAAACGGACTCTTATGCCAAAAAGGATTTACCAAATACCAACACATGTATCATTACTAAAAAACACACCGGGCTAAAAAAATCCCCCAATAAATTTTACAAAACATAATTAACGTGAACAAACCCTCACTAAACCCAAGCAGTGAGTTCAAAAACAGTATGTGAAAGGACATTACCAGGGACTTCCTATAAAACCAGAAACACAGAAAAACAATACCAACTAAAAAAAACCAAAAAAATTAGCTAACAACCTTAAATTCTATGTAAAGTCAAAACAAAAACACAAAAAAAAAAGGTGACACAAATTTCAAACAAACTAAACATACAATTTAAAAAAAAACAGTTTAAATTCATATAAAAACAAATTACTCTGTTATTATCATAGTATAACATAATACAATATATGTATATTTGCAAATATTACAAAATAAAAAAATAACCAAATCATAATAGCACATAATCACGAAAAAAAACAATTAAGCTATATAAAAAAATAAATCCCACAAATAAATATTTCTACCCAATAAAAATAAATCTAGTATATCAATATACTAAACCAAAATACCTTAAAAACATATATATAAATAAAAATACAATATTTATACAAAAAGTTTGAAAATATTTACTGTACATATATTTAAAAAAAGTAAATACCCACCAATTTTATAAAAAATAAAAACCCAAAACACTAAATAAAAAAATATAAAAATTAAAATAAAATATTTAAAAAAAAAAAAAAATAAACAAAAAAAACAAAAACAAAAAAATAAAAATAAAAAACCACAAATAAAAAATAACCCAAAATTGTAATAATCAAATATAATTTCCTAATAATAAAACTATATAATAAAAAAAAAAAAAACAAAATACTAAATAAAATACTGTACTTCTATATAAATAATTATAAATGCAGTTCTAAAAAAAAAAAACTTAAAAAAAAAAAAAAGAAAAAAAAAAAAATCCAAAAACACACAAATATCTGAAGTCCGAAAAAAAATAAATTTAATTCAATAATAAAAATACAAAAAAAAGATATAAAAAATAAATTCAAATAATAATAAAAAAAAACAAACCCATAATAAAAAAAAAACAAAATCAAAAATAATATTAAATACAATTTTATAAAAACCAAAAAAAAAAAAAAAAAAAAAAAAAAAAAAATCAAAAAAAATGCAAAAAAAAAAAAATACAAAAAAAAAATATATAAAAAAAAAAAAAAAAAAAAATAAAATCCAAAAAAAAAAATAAAAAAAAAAATAAAAATAAATATAAAAAAAAAAAAAATAAAAAATAATAAAAATTAAATAAAAAATATAAAAAATTTTTAAAAAAAAAAAAAAAAACAATATAAAAAAAAAAAAAAAAAAAAAAAAAAAAAATAAAAAAAAAAAAATATAAAATAAATATAAAAATAAAAAAAATAAAAAAAAAAAAAAAAAACGTCAAAAAAAAATAAAATCTTACAAAAATTAAAAAATAAATAAAAAAAAAATAAAAACAAAATACAACTAAAAAAAAAAAATAAAAACCAAATTTCAAAAACACAAATATAAAAAAAAAAAAATATAAAAAAAAATATAAATAAACCAATAAATAAAAAAAATAAAAAATTAAAAAAAAAAAACAAAATACAAAAAAAACAAAAAAAAAAAAAAAAAAAAAAAAAAAACAAAAAAAAAAAAAAAAAAATAAAAAAAAAAAAAAAAACAAAAAAACAAAAAAAATAAAAAACCAAAAAAAAAAAAAAAAAAAAAAAAAAAAACAAAACAAAAAAAAAAAACCAAAAAATCAAAAACAAAAAAAATAAAAAAAAATAAAACAAAAAAAAAAAAAAACCAAAAAAAAAAAAAAAAAACAAAATAAAAAAAAAAAAAAAAAAAAAAAAAAAAAAACAAAAAAAAAAAAAAAAAAAAAACAAAAAAAAAAAAAAAAAATAAAAAACAAAAAAAAAAAAAAAAAAAAAAAAAAAAAAAAAAAATAAAAAAAAAAAAAAAAAACAAAAAAAAAAAAAAAAAAAAAAAAAAACAAAAAAAAAAACAAAAAAAAACCCCAAAAAAAAAAAAAACCAAAAAAAAAAAAAAAAAAAAAAATAAAAAAAAATAAAAAAAATAAAAAAAAAAAAAAAAAAAAAAAAAACAAATAAAAAAAAAAAAAAAAAAAAAAAAAAAAAAAAAAAAAAAAAAAAAAAAAAAAAAAAACACAAAAATATACAACAATAAACAAACACTTTTAAAAAAAAAATAACCATCACAAAAAACATCCCCACACATAAATAAAAAAACAAAATAAATATCACACCAAACAAAAAAAAAATAAAAAATACAAAAATATAAAACACCACAAAATAACATATATTTACAATTATAATATAAAAAAAAAATATAAAACTCAACATACATTATAAAAATAAAATACAAACAAAAACCAAAAACAAACCATAGTTTGTAAATTCTAAAAAAAAAAAAAAATCAAAAAAAAATTATTAAAAAAGGAACATTTTAAATGGATTATAATTCATTTGTCCAAAACCTTTTTTGCCCTGAAAATGGATGACTATGTAAAAAATGGTTGCAGTTCCTAAATTTTGTTAAACAAACATATTTATGTTCTACAAACCCCAAAATTAAAGCTTGAAAGTCTGCAATTAACATCATTCATTTGGATTTTTCGTTTCTTAATTTATTATGGTGGCATATCAGAGCAAAAGTATGAAATTTGTGTCTGTGTTAAATATAATGAACTAAAACCTAAATGTATATAATTACAGCATAATCTTTTTGATAAAGATGCTAAAATGAAAAAATTTGGTTTTCAAGAACAAGAAAAACTTCTACCTGGTAAATGCATGAGGTTTGCACATGTGTTTCCAATGCATGCCATAGTGCCTCTCATCAATTTCTGCTTCTCCAACTGAAACAATCTCCAATACTGGGACAATATGACCAGCTGCAAAACAGAGAAAAGGAATGTAACAAACCCAGATGCTATTAGTTCTGACAAAGACAAACTACAGGTCACTTGCATGGCAACCTGTTTAGCACTGCATGATCTAAAGATCTGTTAAGTTATGCCTGTCGAGGTGTTTGGCTCAAGTAAAACATGCAAAATGCTTATGAAGACAATTCACATGACAGAACACAATTACATGAGTACAATAGTTAAAAGCTTCTTAGATAACCCAGTTTATAATTAAACACCACAGTGCACCATCAGACTTCTAAGATTTTTATGAGCTTTGTTCACACATGCCAAAAAAGGGGAGCGATTTCTAAAATGTGCAGTTACAACATCAGACCATAAAACTAGAAAGAATACCTTAAAAAGTAAATGCTATATATTAATCAGAACTTTACTGGTCTTAACTTTTACTAATAATCAACTTTTTACACACTTGATAAATAAAAAATGAACATAAATCTAAAAGTCACAAAGAAAAAGATCATATATCAATAGGCATTGCATAAAGCTATCAATAAGATGTTCTGCTGTTTAAAAAATAGGTTCACCTTTGGGAACATGTTACATGTTCCACCCATCTTTAAGGTGGAACATGTAATCTGTTCCCACTGCTGCAGCCACTGTCCTCTCTCCTTGTGACAATAGTACGGGGAGAAACTTCCCCATAATAGCTTGTCACTTTTTGAAACCAGCGCGGCCGTGTAGGATTCTGCCAATATAGCCATATCATTCATTAACAGAGTCCCAACTGCCTTTGCAGCTGTCAGCTTGTAGTCCTCAATGAACTACCATGATGCTGTTGAGCGCTGTGGTAGTTCATTGAGTCTTCCTGTCAGATTGTATCAGCTTGCCTGGGATGTACGGGTACACAGATACACTGACGTATGCAGGAGTCCTGTATGGCACCAGCGATCTGTTGATTGTTGGTGCAATATGTTCAAGGCTCAAGAAAAAAAAAAAAAAAAAGTAAATGCATATTTTTTTACTTGCAAAAAAAATTACTTTTTTTTCTTTTTTTAAAGTGAACTTATCCTTTAACATGCTGAGCATGCGTCTTAAGCCTAATGAAGTGTCCAGGCATCTCGAAAGTCTGCTAGTTCTCGTGAAAATAATATACCAAGATCAGTAAATTTTACATATGTAACATCTACAGGCACTGCAATATCTAAATCTAAACGACAAGGTAGATCCGATTGGGTTTCATCGTTTCACATTGCCACCCTAGCTTTCTAAACAAAAGTGGCAACTGATCCAATTTTTAAACTAGCTTTTAGTTTAAGGTGCACATAAAAGCAAACTAAAACAAAAAAAAAAAGTACAGTATTTCCCAGCACCACTTGGCCAGCCAAAAAAATATCACACTAACAATTTGCATTATAAAAAACAGAGGTTTTAGTTGCACAGCATTTGTAAATATATGTGGAAGATGCACTGCCTTGTCAAGGCCCTTTTGCATAGTACGTGCATAACTCTGGCCGATGAGAGCCTCCATGCTGAAGCATACATAGCAATGAATAAATTAAGGGCTGGTATGCCTGAAGCGAGCCCATTCTTCCTTAAAGGCACAGAGAGTGAGAAAATAAGACATTTCTTTATGTTACTATTTTAAGCTTGCCAGTCTGATTTAGGGCTTGTTTATACTAGCGTTGTGCAAGCCATGTTCAAATTATACTTCAGAGAGCATCTGACAGGCAATCTGTGTCGCCTCCTCAGTGCCTGCATTAACTCCTTGAACCCCGGCACTAGGTACTGCCCACACTGAACTCAACAGCAATCATATTTCTTGCCACATTGCGATGCAAAGCATCTCGGCTATGACATACGTACACAGCCCTTTGCTGCCTTTGAGACTAAAGGGGAGCAAATGGGAGGGAGGTATAGCCACAGCTCAACCATTTGGTTTCACCACCCCTAAACTCTAATGTAAAATTACACTATTGTAAATTAACCATTTTTTTTTTTTCATTAGGATCCATCTAGCTGAAAAAGTTAGGCTCTATGCAATTTGATGGATCATAGAGTTACAGTGTTCAGGCTGTCAGATCGTATTCTGACAATGGGGCCTTGGGATACATTTAGGAAGTCAACATAAGGCATATTCCAGTGGCATTTGTTAGCTGCAATCAAACACTCATATCATATTTATATTTAACATATTCAAAACCTAGACTTTAGACTTGTTCAAAATTAATCCTAAAAAATGTAAGTAACCAATTATTTTAAAAAACTATTTTCCAAATAAAACAGACTTTAACCATAATTTTCTTGTTGCCTCTATTCTTTTTAAAGTAGAACTATAGGCAAACTTTTTTCTTTCATTTTGGATAGAGCAAGGGAGTGTTATAACCTGCCAGATTTTTTTTCGCCATCTGTGGCTCATTGCAGAGATTTCCCGTCACTTCCTCTACCATAGCCAAACAAAGTAAGACTAAATCCCTTCAAATTAATGGAACTCCTTGGGGACCCCAGGTCACTGGAACTAGTGTCCCCATTGGAAGATTTCCCCTCTATTACTTTTCTTGGGACAGCCAAAAATGTGGCACTTTCTGACAAGTGTTTTAATCCCTTTTCAAAAAAAAAAACTTAAAGAAAAAGCTTTGCCTTTAATTATACTTCAATGTGGCAGTGAATACTACCTGTTCCGAGAAGAAAACTCAAATAAGCAACCATAATTAAATCACACAATGTGATTAGATTTGTTAGGTAAATGTAGGTCTACAAGCACCAGAGAAACAAAAGGAATGCATTGTACTATAAAAAAAATGTGATGGAAAAAAGCAAAGACTGCGAATATACTACCACAACACGACATTAAAATTACTAAGAAATTTATTTATTCAAAACAGAGAATTACCAAAACATTTACTATTGATGTATGATAGGGAATCATGTTATTATCTGAAAAATAAACAGAGGCTCACTCTGTGAAGACACAAAATGAAATGCTATACTTGGATGCACACAAGTGGAAATTTAACTAAAGCAGAACTAAACTGGCATTTAGTGCATGTACACGCAGCATATTTGCACATTATGGCACTCGTACCTTGCAAAATACCCATCTCCAGCAATGTATATGTTCACAGCTCATGCCTTTGGTTCCATCTTTCCTCGTCTTCTTCCAGGTTCAGAGTCTACGATTGTCTTGACTGGTCAGACTTGGATAATGCAACCCCCATGCATGCATATGGCAGTTGCTTTGTCTAAGCACAGTCATGCCAAGACAGTAAACGGAGTTGCACGGCTTTGGGTAAAATAAAAAAGAAAATTCTGGCAGGCAGGGAAGACACGGGGGTTGATTTACTGAAACTGGAGAGTGCAAAATCTGGTGCAGCTCTGCACAGAAATCAATCAGCTTCCAGGATTTATTGCCAAAGCTTAAATGAACAAGGTGAAGTTAGAGGCTGATTGGCTACCATGCACTGATTGGCTGCCATGCACTGATTGGCTACCATGCACAACTGCACCAGATTTTGCACTCTCCTAGCTCTGTTAAATCAACCCCACAGAGTGTCCCCTATCATAAAATTCTACCTTTCAGCATTTAGGATTTACCTAATCTACCTATAGATGCTGTCCAAAGCAACCAATTTGAATACCAACATTTCTTCCATCAGATAATAAAAGGAAGAAATGTTAAAATTGAAAAAACAGACTTTCTTCCATATGTATTTAGTTCACTAGAGCTATGGTGACAGAAATATTAAAAACGTTTAGCAAAACTATGTGAAACTGATACAAGTTTTATGCATTTATAGAGAGAAGACCTCTTGATCATCGGTTTCCAGGTTCATTCTCTCTCTGTGCCACTGCATCTCTTGGTCTCTTTGTTAGGCTATAATCACCATCAAGTTTAGCCTGAATTGAAGATCAGTACCTCAGTTTTCAGCTCTGGCAACCTGGTGCAGTACATTTGGTCACATGTGGGGGTTGCAGTACCAATTTGTTAAGCCCACTGAGAACTACCTGAACTGATGCAGTGTTACATTACTGTATGTTTTGTGCAATGGCAGACCATTTATTTGAATGGGCTGCCAAGACACCACAAAGGATCTAAAATCAGACCTGCTCCATTTTTCTTTTTCCTTGATATGCAGCGCAAACCTAAAACCACAGTTGTGCACTATGGTATGCTGCAACACAAGCATGTGCTGGTTTAATGCACTGGGATGCTATTCAAACTGTTCACTACAGCAACGCATACATCTGAAAGGGATCTAAAAGGTTAAAGAGGATGTTCCACCTCAGTGGAAGGTGTCCTTATTTGGGTTGCCCACCTCTCGCTCCCTACAACAGTGCATAACTTTACCTGTGGTTGGGTGAATTAGTTAACATGTTATAACCAAAAAGGCAAGTATCTAGCTGCTCGTCCCCAATACGAAAACGCATAAAGAGCCCCCCTATATGGGACTTTAATGCAGCGACCATAGTACATATACTCATAGAAAAAGTCTTTTAAAAATATACATGCTTTATTCCATAAAACATACTTATAAAAGATACATATTTTTCAAAGAAAATTGATTGACAATGCTACAAGGTACTTTCTTCACAACATGAAAAAAAAAAAACTCCCAAAGAAAGGGAGACTATCCCGACGCATTTCGATCATTCCATTTTTTTTTTATCTTCTTCAGGTGGCATGGATACAAGAGAAATTTCTAAAGTATTAAACAGGCATTAATCAGAGTAATTATAAAATAATGGTGTCCAGGATGAGACTGCATATTCCAAGGCCTCAACGGCACGAGTCAATAAAAAAAAAAAGCAAGGGTGGCCAGATATCCACCTTATGGCTGACAGCAACTGGGGAACACCAAATCACCCTCAATATTCCTCATATTGAGAACATGGTAGATGAACACAGAGAACTAAAGTGTTTATTGCTATTATGGTGAAGACGTCACAGATCTCACAGAACCACAGATTTAAAACAGTTATATGATTGAGGTGGAGAGAAATAGAGATATCCCAAATACCAGTAGATA